GGGGCGTGGTGAAGCAGCGCATTCAATATACAGAACAGAAAAGTGGGTTGAGCATACAGAGGCGCGGACAACGAAATGGATGATGAATGGATGATTATGAAGGGGCCTGGACAATGACGTAGATGATGATGAGCTGAAAGCATAGCTGGCAGCATGAGGGCCCGGATGACCTGAGCGAAGGCATAGCTGAAGTACAGCATTTCTGAAAGCATAGCAGGAAGGTCCTGGTACGAGACACTGCTATCAACGCACGGAGCTCGGATGGATGTATGTCCAAACGGGACACTGCTATCAACGCACGGAGCTTGAATGGGTGTATGTCCAAACGAGACACTGCTATCAACGCACGGAACTTGAATGGATGTATGTCCAAGCGAGACACTGCTATCATCGCGCGGAGCTCGAATGGGTGTATGTCCAAACGAAACACTGCTATCAACGCACAGAGCTTGAATGGATGTACTTCCAAACGAAACACTGCTATCAAAGCACGGAGCTCGAATGGATGCATGTCCAAACGAGACACTGGCATCAACGCACGGATGCTTGAATGGGTGTACGTCCAAACGAGACACTGCTATCAACGCACGGAACTTGAATGGATGTATGGTCAAACAAGACACTGCTAGCAACGCACACGCTGCTATCAACGCACAGAGCTTGACACTACATAGTTGCATCACAGACTCGCAGGACAGTAGGACTCGCAGGACTACATTGTGTACAAAGTATTATGTGCAGGGACTCGTAAGACCTGAGTCTCTACTGGTGTGCTGGGCGAGTCCATTGGTGATGATGTGATGATTGACTGTGATGATTGACGTCTTAGCAGAGGTCTTGGAAACGGAGAGCCTGCAAAAGCGGCAGGCTGAGCTGTGGTGGCGGACGTCTGCAAAAACTTGCAAAAGCGGCAGGCTGAGCTGTGGTGGCAGGCTGCAAAAGCGGCAACCTGCAAAAGCCTACACTTTGGCAGACGTCTTGGAAGCCTGCAAAAGCGGCAGGCTGAGCTGTGGTGGCAGGCTGCAAAAGCGGCAGCCTGCAAAAGCATGCACTTTGGCAGACGTCTTGGAAGCCTGCAAAAGCGGCAGGCTGAGCTGCGGTTGCAGGCTGCAAAAGCGGCAGCCTGCAAAAGCATGCAGTTTGGCAGACGTCTTGGAAGTCTGCAAAAGCGGCACGCTGAGCTGTGGTGGCAGGCTGCAAAAGCGGCAGCCTGCAAAAGCCTGCACTTTGGCAGACGTCTTGGAAGTCTACAAAAGCGGCACGCTGAGCTGTGGTGGCAGGCTGCAAAAGCGGCAGCCTGCAAAAGCCTGCACTTTGGCAGACGTCTTGGAACTGAGGAGCGGCGTGCGAAGCGGAGAGCCTGCGAAACCTGCAGGCTGAAAACTCGCAGGCTGAGACTCGCAGAAACCCGCAGGCTTTTTTTTTTTTTTGTTTGTTTTTTTGAAAAAAGAGTCCTACTACTGCAGAACGCACCGGCAGAAAGAGTCTAAGCGAAAAGCACCCGCAGGCTGAGAAGCACCGCGGGCACACGGGCTTGGAAACCTCACTTCTCCCGCTCGTCTTGCAGGAAGTCGCGCCAATCCGGCGGCTGCCAAGAGTCGATGATGCGCCGAGACCCACCGCCCGTGCTGCCGCCGATGTCCAGGTAATCCCCTCCCGCAGTACGGAGGCGGCCGTGTCCTAGCGCCACAATCGCCTGGTTCCGGTTGACTCGCAACTCGCCACTGTCCCACTTCCGAAGCACGTCCAACTGCTTGCGCGTGAGAGTGGGAACCTCCTGGCCCTGGTCGGCAGGCTGAGTAGCACCGCCACGTAAGAGCTCTTGCCGATAGCGGGCGAGCCGCTCACCCTCGTTGTAGCGCGAGATCGCTTCAGCCTTGTCGTGGCGGAGGCGGCGGCGCTCTTCCTTCATGACTTCGTCGTGCGCAGGTGGCTCACTGGGTTCGGCGTGCAGGGCTTGGGTGAGCATGTCAACGTCGAAGCGGCCGGAGAAAGCCAGCACCTCCCAGATCTGTTTTGTGCCGCGCACACGTTGCAGATGCCGGCACCACCGCTTACGCTTCTGCTCTCTGAGGAACTTAGCGAGACTCCCTTGGCCTGCCCCTTGGGGCTGGCCACCTTGTGGTGGAGTCTTGCCTTTCGCCTTCCCCTTCTCGCCTTTTCCCGCAGACTGAGAAGCTCCGCGAAAACCTTGTGGTGGAGTCTTGCCTTTCGCTTTCCCCTTTTCGCCTTTTCCCGCAGGCTGAGAAGCCCCGCTAGAACCTTGTGGTGGAGTCTTGCCTTTCGCTTTCCCCTTCTCGCCATCTCGTTCCTGTAGCGCCAGCTGGTGTTCGGACTGCTCGTACTCTGTGCGAACACGTCTTACGAGTTCCCCGCGCTCAGCGTCGGTGAGGACGCGCCGCAAGTCGGCGATGTTTTTGCTCCGCAGAAACTCATGGCGAACCTTAAGGACAGACACAATGGCTCGGACAGTCCCCGCCTGTGACGCGAAGGCGGTGTCACAGTCCGAGCCAGGCTGAGAAGCACCAGCTGGATCTTTGTCCGCAGGCTGCGTGGACGTCCTCTTCTTGAACAGCAAGAGGCTGAGGTGGTGGAGGAGTTTCGGGTCGTAGGCCGCGTCGTACCTCTGGTCCCAATACTCCCTCAACTCCTTGTGCAGCTCATGCGCGCGCCGACTAACTTCATCCTCGGGCTCGTCGCAGGCTGCGGCGTCGGCCGGTGACGTCGGTGAAAGCGGCGCATGCACAGGAGCGGGGCTCGGGGACCGGGACCAGTGCACCGAGGAGCCCTCCACCTCGGTCTCTGAGCCGGCGTCGGCGTCAGGCAATCCTCCGAATGCAATCTTCCGCCTCTTTGTCTCCCCAGGCTGAGAAGCATCAGGGACGGTGAGCACGACCGCAACAGCATCGTGTGCGTCGTTTCGCATGCCACGGTCCATGTAGGAGGCGCCAACAGCGACGGGCTGGAAACGCGCGACTGCTCCGCAGACTGCCACGTCGTCGCCTTTGCGGTCCGCCGGGGGGGGCGAAGACTTCCCATAACGCCTCGTCGTCAGTGCGGCGTTGGAAAGCTTCACGCGCCTCCTGCGCGGTCAAGTTGTTGTCGCCGACTACGAGGCGCACGACCGGCGTGCCCGGCTCCCCAGTACTGAGAAGCACGGCGATCCCGTCCAAGTGGAGTCGGAGCAGCCGAACTGCTTTCTGTCGCGTGTGAATGCTGGGAGGGTTGCTTCCGCAAACGATGTGCATGTTTCCGACGGCCACGTGAACTTTGTCATGGCCTCCTGTCTGCACATTGAACCGTGAGATCACTGCGTCCACTTGTCGCGCGATGGGGACGTGGTAGATGTATGTGTCCTCGCGCAGGGACTCGTCAGCAGGCTGAGAAGCACCGCCGAAGCCCCATAGGCTCAAGTAGTTGGCGACCTCGCAGAAGCCGATGCTGTCGCCGAACGGCTTGGTCAGGATGTCTTTCACGTTGATGGATGCTCGACTCAGGCCTTGACGAAACGCACCGACCTCGCACCCAAAGAAAAGGTCAGCATCGACTTCCTCGACTAACTTGGCGCAAATCCGCCCGAAGTTGGAGCAGTGAGTCTTGGAGTTCTTCCCCATCATCATGCTCTGCTCGAACCCGAAGTTAAAAGAGGCGACCGTAAAAAACGCAGGTTGAGGATCACAGCGAGCAGGCGCGGCCGCAGGCGTGTGTCGGTCTTCCTCCGCAGGCTGAGAAGCACCGCGAGAAGCCGAGGCTGCAGGCCGGTAAGGATAGGGCCAAGGGAGGGCCATTGCAATGTAGTCCGCGGAGGAACGGCCGGTTCCGTCGGAAAGATTGCAATGTGGGAAGCACGTCCTGAACCAAAGACGGCTGTCAAGACAATGACGATGACGATGGCGATGACGATGCTGATGTTGATGCTGATGATGATGATGGCGATGATGATGATTTTGATGTTGATGATGATTATGATGATGCTGTTGCTGCTGGTGATGATGGTGGTGGTGGTGATGGTGGTTGAGGTGATGGTGGTGGTTGTGATGATGATGACGAGAATGATACTGATGATGATGATGATGC